CCCCCCCCCCCATGGTCCTGGGAACCCCCAGAGATCACTCCTCCCTGGGTCTGGGGACCCCTATGGGCCTGGGGACCCCCAGAACCCCCCTCCCTGGGTCTGGGGATCCCTATGGGCCTGGGCACCCACAGAGCCCCCCCCTCCATGGTCCTGGGAACCCCCAGAGATCACCTCTCCCTGGGTCTAGGTACCCCCTATGGACCTGGGCACCCACAGAGCCCCCCTCCCTGGGTCTGGGTACCCCCTATGGGCCTGGGGAGCCCCAGAGATCCCCCTTGGGTCTGGGGACCCCCTTTGGGCATGCGGAGCCCCAGAGTTTCCCCCCCTGGGTCTGGAGACAACCTGTGGGCCTGGGCACCCACAGAGCCCAACCTCCCTGGGTCTGGGGACCCTCAGAGATTCCCCCCTTCTCAGGTCTGCGGACCCCCTATGGTCCTGGGGAGCCCCAGAGACCCCCCTGCCATGGGTCTGGCAACCCCCAGTGGGTGTAGGAACTTCCAGAGCCCCCTCCCCATGGGCCTGAGGACCCTTTGGGGGTCTGGACACATCCCATCGGCTTGGGCAGCCCCAGAGCTCCCTCCCGTGGGCCTGGGGACCCTCAAAGCCCCCTCCCCATAGGCCTGGGCACTCCTTATGAGCCTGGGGACTCTGCATGGGCCTGGAGATCCTCAAAGCCCCCTCCCCATGGGTCTGGAGACCACCCCCCATGGGTCTGGACACCCCCAGACTCCCTTCCTCATGGGCTTTAGAACCCCCCATGAATCTGGGCACCCCCAAACACCCACCCATGGGCCTGGGGAGCCCCAAAGCCCCTTCCTCATGGGCCTGGGCAGCCCTAAAGACCCCCTCCCCTCTTGGACACCCCAAGAGTCCCCTCCTTATGGGCCCGGGCTGCCCCCATGGGTCTGGGCACCTCCTGAGCCCCCTCCCCATGAGTCTGGGCACCCCCATGGGCCTGAGTACCCCAAAAAACCCTCCTCGTGGGCCTGGGCACCTCCTCACCATGGGTCTTCCTCTTCTAGGTCCCCCCCAAACGACAGGCACTTCCCTGCACCCACCCCAACCATCACCATCTTATTTCAGCACCTTCTTTTCAGCACCAGGCCAGACCCATGCACCCCATCCAGCCCCCCAGACCAACTTCATGGGCTGAAATCCCCCCCAAACATCCCAAAGTTTCTTAAATCCTTTCCCCAAGGCTGATTTCTGCAGGTTTTCACCCATTTTTTCAGCTACATGACCCTTCCAGCCCTTGTCTTCAAGGAGCTGCTGTTATTGACCTAAAAAATTAATTTTAAAACTAGGGAGTGATCGTGGCCGCTGTAAACAAGTCAAAAACTAAAATAAACACCTTGAGGTTATTTTAGCTCCTGACCAGGTCACCTCCAGCAGCTCTCACAAGCAGCATGGTGTGGAACCGGCTCCACCAAGGGACATCCCGGGGCTGGGGGCTGGTGACGCTTCCATCCCTGTCCCTGGAGGGGTTCAAGGACAAGGTTGGAGGGGGCTTGGAGCAACCTGGTCTGGTGGGAGGTGTCCCTGCCCAGGGCAGGGGGGTGGAATGAGATGATCTTTAAGGTCCCTTCCAACCCAAACCATGCCATGATTCTACGATTAGTGTTTATGTGACACTCAGGGAGGCATAAAAACCTCTTCAGGTTTCACCGAGCACCTCGGTAACCTCGAGATAAACCTCCAACGTGGATTTTTGCAGCACGTAGGGTAAAGCCAAGGAAAATAAACCCACAGGGATGGCTAAACTCACTCAGGATGGTTTCCCGAAGACGTACAGACTCTCCTTTTACCTCTTTGTCCTGCAGGTTTCTTGCTTCCTTCCACCCATCACCACGGAGCATCATCCACACCCAGCCTGCCCCAATCCATATGGACCAGCAGACGCCACATGGGACCTGTTAAAAAATAAATTAATTATATTTAGTTTTGCGCAAAAACATGTAATTTTTCTACCTGTGAAGAGTGTGGCCAGAAATAGTGGAGAAATGCAAACGAGTGGGTAACGGCTGCCTCTTGCCATCGATGTATGCGGAGGGATGGTTGCCCCAGCCCAAACCCCAACCCTACATTTAGCCACAACTCCAGTTCCAGCCCCAATTCCAGCTCTAATTCCAATCCCAGCCCCAGTCCCAGCTCTAACCCAAATCCTAGATCTAATTCCAGCTCAAACCCCCAAACCAGCCCCAATGCCAGCTCTATCCCCAGTCCCAGCTCAAACCCCAAAACCAGCCCCAATCCCAGTTTTATCCCTAATCCCAGTCCTATCCCCAATCCCGCATTTAGCCTTAACTCCAATCCCAGCCCCAATTCCAGCCCTAATTCCAATCCCAGCCCCAGTCCCAGCTCTAACCCAAATCCTAGCTCTAATCTCAGCTCTATCCCCAATCCCAGCCCCCATCCCAGATCTATCCCCAGTCCCAACCCTGCATTTAGTCTTAACTCCAAACCAGCCAGCTCTACCTCCGTTCCCAGCTCCAATCCCAACTCTAACCCCAATCCCAGTCCTATCCCCAAACCTGCATTTAACCTTAACTCCAATCCCAGCTCTAGCCCCAATCCCAGCCCCAATTCCAGTCCCAGCCCCAGTTCTAACCCCAATCCCAGATCTAATCCGAGCTCTAGTCCCAATCCCAACTCTAATTCCAATCCCTGCCCCAGTTCCAGCTCTAACCCCCAATCCCAGCCCTAATTCCAGTCCCAGCCCCAGCTCTAACCCCAATCCCAGATCTAATCCCAGCCTTAATTCCAATCCCTACCCCAGTTCCAGCTCTAGCCCCCAATCCCAGCCCTAATTCCAGTCCCAGCCCCAGCTCTACCCCCAATCCCAGATCTAATCCCAGCTCTAGTCCCAATCCCAGCTCTAATTCCAGTCCCAGCCCCAGCTCTAACCCCAATCCCAGCCCCAATTCCAGCTCTAGCCCCAATCCCAGCCCTAATTCCAGTCCCAGCCCCAGCTCTAACCCCAATCCCAGATCTAATCCAAGCTCTATCCCCAATCCCAGCTCTACCCCCAATCCCAGATCTAATCCCAGCTCTAGTCCCAATCCCAGCTCTAATTCCAGTCCCAGCCCCAGCTCTAACCCCAATCCCAGCCCCAATTCCAGCTCTAGCCCCAATCCCAGCCCTAATTCCAGTCCCAGCCCCAGCTCTAACCCCAATCCCAGATCTAATCCAAGCTCTATCCCCAATCCCAGCTCTACCCCCAATCCCAGATCTAATCCCAGCTCTAGTCCCAATCCCAGCTCTAATTCCAGTCCCAGCCCCAGCTCTAACCCCAATCCCAGCCCCAATTCCAGCTCTAGCCCCAATCCCAGCCCTAATTCCAGTCCCAGCCCCAGCTCTAACCCCAATCCCAGATCTAATCCAAGCTCTATCCCCAATCCCAGCTCTAATTCCGATCCCTGCCCCAGTTCCAGCTCTAATTCCAATCTCAGCCCTAATTCCAGTCCCAGCCCCAGCTCTAGCCCCAATCCCAGCCCTAATTCCAAACCCTGCCCCAGCCCCAGCTCTAGCCCCAATCCCAGCCCGAATTCCAACCCCTGCCCCAGCCCCAGCTCTAGCCCCAATCCCAGCCCTAATTCCAAACCCTGCCCCAGCCCCAGCTCTAGCCCCAATCCCAGCCCGAATTCCAACCCCTGCCCCAGCCCCAGCTCTAGCCCCAATCCCAGCCCTAATTCCAGCCCCTGCCCCAGCCCCAGCCCTAGCCCCAATCCCAGCCCCAATTCCAGTCCCAGCCCCAGTTCTAACCCCAATCCCAGATCTAATCTGAGCTCTAGTCCCAATCCCAGCTCTAATTCCAATCCCTGCCCCAGTTCCAGCCCTAATTCCAGTCCCAGCCCCAGCTCTACCCCCAATCCCAGCTCCAATCCCAGCTCTAATTCCAACCCCTGCCCCAGCCCCAGCTCTAACCCCAATCCCAACCCTATCCCCAGCCCCATTCCCGACCATTTTCCCTCTCAACCCTCCTCCCACCCTCATCCCACCCCATAGCACAGCCTTAAACCTGACCCCCAGCCCCAATCCCACCCCAATCCC